AGCTTACCTTGTGTCTGACTTGGTTTGCTTGGGGACAAGCAAACGGTTAAGTGTGGGTGAGTTTGATAAGCCGTTAATTGCACATGTTTTTACCCCTATTCTGGAGCCGTTTGAGATGGTAATTCTCGTGTTTTAGGCCGATTTCACGCTAGGTTGTGTTTGTTTGTGATATTTCAGGTCCTAGCAAGTGAATGAAGGTTTAGGAGCGAGTTCGGGGTCGATTGGACGAAGATCGGGCGCGAGGCAAGCCGAAAAGGAAGCCACACGGACACACCCAAAACTCACACGGCCGTGCAAGTGACCACTTTGGCCGTGTGAGATTGTGCGAGCCTTCACACGGCTTGCCCTGATATCCACACGGCCGTGTGAAGGAGTGGTTTGGCCGTGTGGAATTATGCGAGGCTTCACACGGCCAGGCAGGGTGATCCACACGGCCGTGTGACCCTGGCCGTGTAGGAAGCCTGAAGTGCAACTAATCGGGACGCAGCGTTTTGAAGTCACACGGGCAACTGGGTATGCCACACGGCCGTGTGGCCCTGCCCGTGTGAGTCGGGAATTTCTGATTAAAACCCGATTTTCAGGAAAAGGAGAGGAGAGAGCTGGGTTTTGGATCCCAAACACCCAAGGGACGAACCCTAGAGAGAGAGAGCGACTTGGTAACATTCTTGAAGCTATTTTGGAGGATTTCTTCGCCATTGGAGCTCGGGAATCAAGCTTGGAGATGGAGATTGAAGATCTAGATCAGATTTCTGCAGTCTCTCTCTTCTCTATGGAGTAACTTCCCTTCACTTAGGTTTTGAGGAACCCTAGTTCCATGAGTTAGGATCTTTCTTGTATGAAGTTTTGGATGCTATATTGTTTGATTATAATCGAATGATGCATGTTTATTGAGTCAATTGAAGTCTGATCAACTTTTCCTGATTCCTGCTGCAATCTGAGATAGATAGAATCTGATTAGGTTGCTAGAGTATCATCATTCGGTAGAAGGAGATTGGCTATACGAGAGTTAGCCAGTTTACTGCTTTGTACTGGAATCCAATTCCAGTAGTGGAGTTCTGTGCTTATTGCTTCAGCTTTCTATCCCGGTGAAGACTAGTCGTCTGCCGGATAGTTAGACTGAGAGGGCTTGGTCAGCTTAAGAGATTCCAAGCTACTGTCGGATCTTCCGCAGTCTAATCAACAGTAAAACAACCAAAAGGAATTACAACTTGGACCTAATTGAGGAGCTAGGGGGAATCATACCTAAGTGAGTTCCCAAACTGTAATTAGTAGTTTTACTTAGTTTAGTTAGTAGAGTAGTTTAGTTAATCAATCCTTAATCTAGTTTGCTAGATAATGAACTGAAGCTGAGTAATAGTAACTCTAGAGACCCGTGGATTCAATATTTATTACTTGTGCCACTATACTGCAGTCCCTTTCATTGGTTACACTTGGCCATTGTTAGGTGTTGTGTTTTAGAGCATCACTAGGGTTTACAAACACCCAAGTGAAAGAAGGGACTACTCCATGCTAGGAGAAGGGAAAACACAAGAGAGGGAAAGGAAAACCATCAAGAAGTTGAAAGTCTTGCTCCTTGTGTTGAAGAGATCCTCCTTTGGGGGAGGAATTCCCAAATCCTTGCTTGGAGATGAAACCCTTGCTTCTCCTCTTCTTTGGTTCGTCACTTTCTAACTCTAAAATCTGAAGAAGAAGAAGAAGAAGAAGAAGAAGAAGAAGAAGATGAAGAAGAAGTTTCTCACACTAAGTCTCTCTCTTTCTCTCTCTTCTTCCTTTCAGTTGGCTCTTTAAATTGAGATCGAGCCCAGTTAACGACCTGAGTTCACGGCTGTGAATATCGAAACACTTCCGTGAACACAGAGTCTGAACCAAAACGCACTACTTCACATCATGGGGTTCATGGTCTGTGGCATCTGTTCAAGGTCTTAGCGACCGTGAACAGCCTTGGCGTCAGTAACCTCAAAACTCTCTCTGGACGCTCCTTGGTTCACAGAATACGGCTCCAGTTCACAGTCTTGTAAGACCGTGAACTCCCATGGCAGACTATGTACTGCGACTGTTTCCTCCTCTTTGCTTGGTCTTTGCTCCTTTCCTTCCAACTTTCAACTCTGGGGTTGGTTTCACCTGTTAGGATCTTAAACACACTGAAACACAAGAAACCTCACGTAAACCACCATTTTGGAGTTCAATTGCAACAAACGTCAAAGCGAAATGGGGATAAAAAGTGTACAATTATGCCCGAATCGGGTTTGGGAGTATAGTCAAACCGGTTCTGAACCGAGACTTTTTTGGTTCGAAACGAATTGAACCAAAATCAAGTTCGTTTGGAATTCGGCTCGAAAAGTAGAGGCCTTTAGGTGTCAATTTTGTTCAGGTTCGATTCAAATGATCAAACCGACCAAATGCCCACCCCTACCTCTATTTGATTATACCCAATACAAAGTAATGGATCGAGTGACTCTGATAAAATCAATCCCCTGCTTCCAATAGATGTTTTCTCTATCAAGCTAATCATATATCTTTCTCCTAGGTCAAAGAAAGAATTATCATAAATTGATCAAGGCTCAAACAACTTAATGAAACATGCATCAAGTAGATATTAAATTTGAGTTCTACAAATCAGAGTATCATACAATCACTGGACAAATCACGACTAGGGTTCATACCCAAGTGAGAAGGGATATTCCTCCATAGAGAGAGAGAGAGAGAGAGAGAGAGAGAGAGAGAGAGCACAAAGGAGAGGAAGGTTGACTTCTTGGTGGCGGATATCATCTTGGATCTTCAATCTCCTCTTCTAAGCTTGTTCCCTTAGCTCTAATGGTGAAGAAATCGCCTAATATGGCTCCAAGAACTCTCTAGGGTTCATCTGCTTTCTGATTTCAAGTCTAAAACTCAAGACCCCTTTCAAAAATCAAAGAAACCTATTTATACTCGAAGTAGAGGCAAAGTCACGGCCGAATTCTTGGTCGTGACTTTCAAACACAGTGTCTCAGTTAGTTTCTTCTGGGGAAGTCACGATCGTGGCAACTAGTAAAGTTATGTCACAACCATTTTGAGATGTTTTACAGCCATGACTTTCAATTTGCTGACAGTCACTTCTGTCTTTGGTTCTTTTTGGCTGTCAAATTTGTCGAAACTCGTTGTCAAACTTTCTCCACATGCTAGGAGCTAAAATACGGCAAAAGAACACAACCTAGGTTAAAATCGACTAACCAGAGGGTGCTTCTTGGGTAAATGGTTAAGAATCGAGGGTCAAAATATGTATAAATAAGCACTTATCACCTGCCACCGCCCCTTCCGACTCCCCATTCTAGCTTCCCCATAAAGAAGTTAGTATTGACATTACATGTTGCAACTGCAAACTAAGAAAGGATCTTTTCTTGGGTTAATATATTTGTATAATCCAAACTTTCCACATATTAAACATCTTGGCCAATCTTTTCGATCTCTAATATTGTGGCATCAACTATGCATCAAAGTTACAAAATTGGTCAACCCCGAGATTGACCGTTATCTTGGACGGTCAACGCGCCACATCACCGTCTAATTAGAACAATAAATATTAAAAATTTTAAAAAAATCCACATAATCTGCAATTTGAATTATTAAAATTATTATAAATATAAAATATAAAAAAATTCCAAATAATTTCATCCTCCTCAACATCTCCACCATAAAAAAATCAAAACAAACAATATATCTCCTCTAACCTCTCTCTTGTCTGGCCTTTTCTCTTCCTTAACCCTTTCTTCCCTGTCACAGAAAATGACCCCTTCTCCTGCTCTCATATTCTCACAAAAGCGACCCCAGATTTCATCTCCTTCCTAGCTCGCTCGGAAAACGACCCCTCCGGCACTAGTAGCTTCCCCTGTTCTCTCAAAACATAACCTCCGGCGCTAGTTGCTTCCACTATTTTCAGAAGATATAGAGACGTCTACCTTCCACCGCCACTAGTTGTTGGAAAAAATCCAAAAGTACCACTGTTTAAAAAAACAATTCCAAAAATACCACTCAACCCCAAAAAATTCCAAAAATACCACCTTTTTCAAAAACCGCCACCCCTCCCTGCGGTTTACACGAAAACCGCTGGGCGGGGGCACGATTTTCTATGCAAACCGCTGGGCGAAGGGGCGATTTTGGAAACCGGACCAAACCGCTGGGTGGGGCGGCGGTTTTGGACCAAAACGCCACCCCACCTAGCGGTTTGGTCCAATTTTTTTCCGATCAACTCCTAACTTCGGCCGAAACTTCAAACGAACGTAACTTTGCACTCAAGTATCCGATCGTAGCGATTTTTTTTATCCAAATAAATTTTTGAGATCTACAACTTTTACTAGGATGAAATTTTCAAAACAGGAATTAGTTGTGGATATACGGGACCTTGGGAATAACTTAACCTTTACTTTTCACAAATCCATGTACATTTCGAAATTATGATTATCTTAAAAGTTGTAGATCTCGAAAAGTTATGCGGAATCAAAAATAATTTTATGACGTTCGGATTTTGTAGCAAAAAATTAAGGCCGCCCAAAGTTTGACGAAATCAAAAAAAGGTTCGTTCGGGGTAGCAAATGACGTTTTCTCGAGACGAAGGCGGGACCAAACCACCTATGGCGGTTTGCGGCTTGCAAGATCTCAAAATGTTATTCGGATTCAAAAAAAAATCACTACTATCGGATACCCGAGTGCAAAGTTACGTTCGTTTGAAGTTTCGGCCGAAGTTAGGAGTTGATCGGGAAAAAAAAAATTTTGGACCAAACCGCTGGGTGGGGTAGCGGTTTGGTCCAACACCGCCGCCCCACCCAGCGGTTTGGTCCGGTTTCCAAAACCGCCCCTTCGCCCAGCGGTTTGCATAGAAAACCGTGCCCCCGCCCAGCGGTTTTCGTGTAAACCGCAGGGTGGGGTGGCGGTTTTTGAAAAAGGATGATATTTTTGGAATTTTTTGGGATTGAGTGGTATTTTTGGAATTTTTTTTTAAACAGTGGTACTTTTGGATTTTTTCCCTAGTTCTTGGTCTCGCCAAAGGTAGCAAGTTCGGCGACAATGACGGATAGACTCGGCGAATCTGGTGAAGAGAATGAGAGGGCGCCGATTGGCAAGATTCGACGTCGGTGGCGGAGATATCGAGACAACGACGATTGACGAGATCCAGCGACGATGGCGGAGAGATCGTGAGACAACGTCGGGAACTGGAAAGGAGACATCAGGAACTGATGAGAGTAGTGCCTGATGCTTCTTCCTAACCATCAATGACTCCCTCCCTCCCCTGCCTACCCAAACCAACTGTGATGGCGATAAGGGTTTAAAAGGAGAACTAAGTTCAAAAAGCAATCTAGTTTGAAAAAGCGATCTCGGTGCAAAATAAGCAAACGATAGTGAAGGCTCCAACAACAGGATGGGAAGTCTTTTTGATTGAGTGCATGACTTTTTAGGGTTTCTGATTTTGTTGGGGTTTTGGGATTTAGGATGGGCTCTGGAGATGAAATTTTGGGATGTATTATGGGTTTTGGATGGTATTCTGGGTACAGTTGGGCTTTGGGTGCAAGGTTGTGAGGAAGAAGAGATGCATTTGATATTTTGTTTTTTTATATTTATTTTTTAACTTGATTGAAATAATTCACAATTGGAGACTGTGTGGCTTTTTTATTTTCTTAACATTTATTATGCTGATTGGAGGTGACGTGGCGTGTTGACCATTAGTCAACGCGGTTGACCGTCCAAGATGACGGTCAAATTTCAGGTTTGGCCAATTTCATAACTTTGATGCATAGTTGAGGCCACGATGTGATAGATCGAAAAGATTGGCTAAGATGTTTAATATGTGAAAAGTTCAGGCCATACAAATATATTACCCTCTTTTCTTCTATAAAGTTAATCTAGAACAATCCTCAGAATCAATTGAGTGACTAATATATGAATGAGTGTTTAGTTGTATAAGAGAATGATATAAACTAGGTTTGCGTATTCAGCAAACTAGTTTTTCATTCCTTTTTTTTCCATCAGCATCATGTGCATCAATGTCTTATTAATAAATAGGCAAAATACACTTGAATAGTCATAAGTATGCACTTTGTGACAATAATAGCCAACTTTTAAAAAATACACAGATATAGTCATTTTGTCGATAACTTTAACGGCACATCAATAAATGCTGACTAGACTAACGATATTTGGTGGCGTGACGACTTTTAGTCAAAAACCATACTAGGTGGATATTATATGTTTTAGATATAATGAACTGAAAAATTAAGGGGGGAGGGGGGACATCATCGTCGCCTTGTAGTTGCGCTCTGTGTTGCGAACACAAAATCGAAGCTGGAGTTTGACCGACGATTAGTGGAGTTGAGCCTATGAGAGATTTGGAGGACATCGACCACTGAGATCTATCACCCCTGGAATAGATTGATTGCCTTGGCGAGTGTTTGTTTACTGAGAAAGGGATAACAAGTGAAGGAAAAGACTAGGAAATAAGAGATTGAGGAAGAATGGATCAGAGGAAGAAGGAGAAGGGAAAGTAATTACTGTTGTGAATTTTGGTAGATAGACGTATAGACTATGAAATAAGACAATATAAGATACAGTAGACGAAGTAGATATAAAACATATATAAAACACTCTCTCTTTATTATCTTTCAACAGAGTATACACATAGAGAAATATTCTCTCTTCCTACTAATGTTTCTCTGAATGATTTCTGAAATCAGAAATCTCAGCTATTTATAGAAATGGAAAAGTTACTATGCAGAAACTATGCAGTCCTGTATACACGTTTTTGGGGACGGCTGCTTAATGAACAGCCAGCCGCCCTTCAATAATTCTCAACACTCCCCCTTGGATGTTCATTGATCAAGAATATGCCTCGTTAAAACTTTGCTAGGAAAACCCAGTGGGATAAAACCTAGTGAAGGAAAAAGAGTACACAATTCTTGTAATACGCTTTTGTATACTGCCTCGTTAAAAACCTTACCAGGAAAACCCAGTGGGAAAAACCATGGTTAAGGGAAAAAGAGTGCAGTGCGTATTTTCTCCCCCTCAAGGGGAGATCCATCAATTTTAAAGTCATCAATATCCAATATATTATGGACTAGCTTTTCACATAATATAGAATGAAATATTCTAGTGATACTCATGTCACATTAATGTTTAAACAAACTAGCCAAACATTTAGTTGGGCGTTTGTACGAAGGTCATGAGTGGAAAAGAACTCTTGTGGAATACAATATATATCATATCTCCATCATCATCTCTAATTTCAATTAAGAGATATACTATGATTGATCATCAAGATCAATTTTCCGGAACATATACCAATTTTCTCCGATGAATTTTATCATGAATATTTTTCAAACTGATTCATGATTTTCGTATTTGTGACTATGGTATCTGCATGATCAAATGATGTAGATACTCTATGTTGCTTTGTCAAGTAGCCGTATAAACTTTATTCCCGCTTATATGGTAACATCATCAAACTTGTTTGTGATCATATCACATTGCGTGATAAACTCTATATTGTACCACTAATATATCAAGTGGCAATATATTAATATTTCGATGATACTAAGATCATGTACTATACGACCATGTATTTGGTAATTACTTTACCAATAGACAAACATATGATTATTTTCATATAGATCTTACTCTTTGATCTATTCAATGGATAATTCATCCATTATTATCATTTGTGCATATTTATATATCTTTTGATGCAGAGGACTTTGTCTTACAATATTTGATTTTGTAATCCAAGTTAAAGTCTCGTCGTTTTAAGTTATTGATTTCAATAACTTATTGCCTTTGAACACTCTTCAAGAGTTTCAACCATATTTATACCTTTCATCTCAACTTGAAAACATATTACAAACACCTTCTTATAAGAAGTTTGGCACCCACAACCAATGATTCTTTGTCACAACATATGAAACAATCATTGGAAGATATTCTGAGTACGCAGATGCCTGCCTCAAAATTATTCAGATCATTATCTCATATTAATCGATGCTCTTTCACTTTGTTTAAGGGGAAATTCAATTTACTTGAATAACGTTCTTAAAAACCTTAACATGTTTGCTTCGTGCAAACTAACTCCTCCAGGGAGTTCCATATAAATATCATCATTATTAAGCATGCTTTTATAAATGCACTGTAATACATCCACTAGATGTTTTTCCTCATACTGCCAGACTAATTGATTATATATCAAAAGTCATATCCACCATATGAGAGTGAGTCTCCTTATACTCAATGTCAAGTATTATATAATACTCTTTTGATAAGTCGAGCATAATATCTCTTAATTTCTTCCCCTTTGTTATGTCATTGTAAGACATCATGTATGCTTTATTGACATTACTTCTTCGTATACAAGGAGTATAAATCCCATGACATTTTATTCTGTAGGCGAGTTCATAACTGCCTCCAATGCGTCGTTATGATTTGGCCAATCATCTTGTTTTATATTCTTTTCGATCCTCATTTTTCATTCATCATATTGCGCGCTACAATATATACAAAATTCATTGTCAACGTTGACTTCCTTTTGATTCCATCAAATTTCATCCAAGATATAATTTATTGAGAGCTCTTTCATTTTCCCAAACAGGTACCTGTGGTTATACCAAACCAATAATTCTTGGAGAATAGAATTACAATATCCTCATTATAAAGACCATCTTTATTCTTAGCTCCCTTCTTACTTGAGGATTTGTATTTCTGGAACCGATAATTTTATCACACGTCATATATGTATAATATATCCCTCTAGGATATTAACTTAGGAGCATTAGCAGTTGCTCGTGACTTAGTCACTTCTTTTTGGGTTAGTAACGATGCCTGGCAGTAGGCTAACCAATCTTGGCAAATGAATTATCTTTGAACTTCATGTTCACATTCTAAGTATGAGGATCATAATTCATTTCAACCAATTTGCAAATCAACTGCTTACCCTTTCTTTTTCTCCCCCTGATATTGGAAACATTGACTTGTTCATATAACAACGTCAATAAATATCATATAAAAATTCTAGTCTCACTAAAACAATTAGAGACTTCTTATGCAACTTCAGTTTCCAATTTTCCTTTGCAAAACCCATCTTTGTAAATTGTGGTGGATCAACTTACATCGTATATTGCACTTTCATAAATTCTCTGATGGGATATTTTAGGTCCTGACCAGAACCAATTATACAGGGGTTTATTAGTAACATCTTGTTGGCATGATGCAAAATCAGTGTTGCCGCATGTAAGATGACATGTCAGAGTGAGTGATTCATCGAGATCATTTTGTGCACACACATGTGCTACAAGATATTTTGTATTAATTCTAGTAACCACCAGTATTTGTCAAGATATATTTTCTTGATTGGACATTCATCAAAATGTGCCCATAATTGAATCAACTGAGCAATCAGTCTTGCAAACTTCAGGTTGCAGCTGAATACATGTGACCATTTAGTCGATGCATCGATTAAACTCATAAAATACCTAAATGGTCCACATGGTGTATTGGTTTACCAACTTGGCATTATATATGCTCATCGTATATAATATCCAAATTCTTACTTTCACTGGTGATGATCTCATGATCAACTTTCTTTGAGAACAAGCAGCACAAGATAAAACTATCTTGTTGAATTCCTTCAAATGTCCACATAAATTCTTAATTTTCTTTAGCATCATAATTAATCCGGGATGGCCCAACCGGTCATGCCAAACAATTAATTTATCACGTAATGTAAACTTCAAGTTTACTGTTGCATTTGCTTGATTGCTTCTTTCTTAAGAAAAATAATTAACCACGAGAATTAATCCGTTGTCTAAATCACAATAATATATATTATGAAATAATCTAAGAATGATACCAAAAAGGGACGCGGCTGAAGTGGTACGGCTCTATGCCCTCACCTGGAACGTCGTAGGTTCGAGCTCGATTGACGCCAGATTTCGAACCCTATTCTTTTTATTTCACTGAAAGAGAACTGTTAGATAGAACATACAGCATAATATCAACTATGATTACCTGGTAAATTCGATCTGCTTTTTGGCACTTTCAGTGTGTTATGGCGGCCGACATACACTACACTATCTATTTTCTTTTTCAAAATTTCAAACCACAATCTCTTCATATCTTCACAATCTTATCAAAATCTTACCACATCAATACAATTTTATCTAAAATATACAACATCAATTAATTTTTTTTTTTTCAACATACATCCTTCTTTCATGGCTATAAAAACCACAACCTTCCTTCCTCTTCATTCATTCCATTCAAAACCGAAAATCACCCATCATCTCTCAATTCCATCATTCTTCTTCCCTTCTTGGGAACTCTTCTCGTTATAAGTCGCTTCAGGGATCTTATCGAGTTCGGGTGAAGCAATGGCGGAAGAAATTTCTTCCTTTCTAATCTTGATTTGGGTGTCATGGATCTTTATGATTTTCTTTCTCATTGCAATACTTTTTTTTTGCTAGAGATACACTATCGCAATCATGAACGCTACGTTTTGATACACAAACACGAGGATCATAAGCATGACTAGATATTTTCTAGTCTTTGATCCATATATGGTAGTATGAAAAATGAGACTTAGATCTCAAATCATGTATGATGTATGAATGCTATGAATAAAGTGAAGTTTAAGTACTTCATTGTATCAATAAATCCAAACTTTACTTCCAGAAAGTTTGTGGTATATATTATATTCATCATCATTTTTGGAGTCAAGTCATAAACTGATCATTAACTTCATTGGATCATCTTATGAGTAATACCCCATGAATCATTATATCAAATGGGCGTATAATCAAATCCGGTGTGTCCCACCTTGGATAAGCCCTTAAATGCTTTGCCATAAAATCTTCAGGATATGATCACTTTATTCAAATGATTCTTGATTAAATCCATGAAACGATTCAACGTACAACTGGTACGTTATATGGACAATATCTTTGTCCCTTTCAATAAATTGTTGATTCAACTAATGAATCTATTTGACGTACAACTTGTACGATAACATTCTTGCATTTTCAATCACTGACCATATAAACATTTCACTTCTGGTGAATGTTATTACGGTTGGTATTATAGAACCATTTATCAATCGATATTTTGACATCGTCGTTTTTCACATTCACTTCTAGGAATGGAATTACGTCCAGAGGATTTCTCATAATTCGGATAACCCATTTATCCATAGGTCATTTGACCTTAGCTATTCACTTTAGCTTTTATCATTCTGGAACCTATCAATTTCAAGAATTTACTCTGATTCCTTTTAATTTGCTATCACTGTAACATAGCATATAACAATAATTGTAAGAGTAATAATAATACGATTAGTGTGTTAGAAAGTCAGTGGCATAGCGGTGCCCATCATTCAATATAATATCATATAAAAACAATAATAATAATGTCATGGGCTCCACAAATAGTATATGCATAGTAATTTTACTATTTGATGAAAGCGACCCTGCAACATTACGTTAAAAAAAACTGTGCAAATACTATGCATAATGGCAAAATAGTTAAGGCTCTGTTTGTTTGAGCTTTTTATAGAAAAGAGGGTATGCGTACCTGATGATGAAAAATATCTACCTCAAAAACAATTTTTGACTTGCAGGACCTTGAGTAGGTAGAGCGCTCGTGCTGATAACGTGTTGTGAATTTTGGTAGATAGACGTATAGACTATGAAATAAGACAATATAAGATACAGTAGACGAAGTAGATATAAAACATATATAAAACACTCTCTCTTTATTATCTTTCAACAGAGTATACACATAGAGAAATATTCTCTCTTCCTACTAATGTTTCTCTGAATGATTTCTGAAATCAGAAATCTCAGCTATTTATAGAAATGGAAAAGTTACTATACAGAAACTATGCAGTCCTGTATACACGTTTTTGGGGACGGCTGCTTAATGAACAGCCAGCCGCCCTTCAATAATTCTCAACAATTATTATTCTGTTTATTCGATACTTTTTCAGTACACAGATGAAGGGTTTTATACCCTTACAAAATATCCACAATAGTCACCATATTTATGCTACTTACAACTAATTCCTTTCCTTATACCGGTTCGTTACAGGATCTGGATCTGATTGATTGATTCCCCTTCATATTTTCTATGATGGAATCGATCTCTCTATCGAATTCGGGCCAAGATCAGGTGACTAAGGGGACCCCCCTTAGTCACTTGGCTAAGTGAATCTCAGCCACTCAACCTCATTAAAATTCAAGGGCTCCTATTAATCCAATTTAATGAAGGGCAATGTAGTAATTGCATATTTGTTTTTTACTTTTAATTATAAAATGAATAAAAAAATTAACCCAGCCCCGTCCTCTTGCGCCGCCTCCCGTCTCCGTCCAGGTGTTAATTGTCGGCGGTGGCTCCCCTGGGCAATTGCTAGGCAGCTCATGCGGCATTATTCCAGGCAGCTCATGCGCCATTGTTCAAGGGGAATTCCCATGGGAAATTTGGGAATTATATTCCCCCCTCCCCTGCCATTGAGTTTCGAGAGTTGGGAATTATATTCCCCCCTCCCCTGGCCATTGAGTTTCGATCTCGAGGAGGGAGAGAGAGAGAGAGAGAGAGAGAGAGAGAGAGAGAGAGAGAGAGAGAGAGAGAGAGAGAGAGAGAGAGAGAGATTTTCTTGTCAACTTTTCCGACGATGGTGGAGCAGTTTTCCGACGACCAAAGACAGTGATGGATGATTTTTCGACTCTGCATGAGAATTGTCCTCCGCTGCCGCACAATTCCAATCGACGCTGCTGCTTTGGCAGGATTTCTGAGTAAAAAATCCATTTCATCCGATTCTCAGAGCAATTGAGATTTTGCACCCCGTCATCATTGGTACCGGCTCTGGGTTTGTGAGCGATTGGTCTTACTTCTTCGTCGGTTAGAGATGTTAGCCCTTGTTCGCCGAGATTCTTCAAAGTCGAATGAAGGGGATTTTTTAATCCTTTGCACAGTATTAATCTGCTCAGCCATGTTTTGCCCACATCGCTATACGAGGACTAGCTGCTACGAATATGTTCAACGTCCACGAGTTTCTCTATCACATACTTTTCTGCCGAGGTGCTACATTCAGCACAAACAGCCACACAAGTGATCTTACTCGACGGATTTTGGTTCACTATGCTACGCTTCCACTACCAATTTTACATGCACAAAACAATTTTCATAAGAAACAGCTCCAGTACGGTCATTTGGAAAATTCGCTATAAAAATTTCATTAGACGAAATCCCTACCTATCTCACTGCTTATCACGAACCGCTTTTTCCAACATCGTAGTAATACAGTACTGTATATGCAATGGAACTGATCTACAACAATATTGCACAAAACAGAGGGGGTGAAAACCTCAATGAAACGAAGGCCTGTAGTATAACTCTGGTAAAGATCATTAACGGAAAGTCCGAGACAGATAAAGAAGAGATGAAAATTAACAAGACTTGAGGCCAAGGCGTCCACTACCGGGTTTCCCCATCCACCCCAAACTCTCCATCTTCAAGTTCCTCATGATTACCAGTCCTACGAGAACCATTATGGTGGTGGTCTCTCTTATGCCTTCTATGCCTGCTCTCACTGTCCGAATCGGGGGTAGTACCATTCTGCGACGACAATGTGGTTTCAGCCAATGGGAAAACAAACTTTCAGATAACAAACTTAAATAAGGGATTCAGTTCATGAGTGAGTAGAGTAGACTATCTAACTGGCAACTACGTGCATACCCATCTCCCTCTTTTACTGTGGTCACTACTATGTTTGTGGCTGCCTCTGGACCTCTCTTTTTCACTTTCTTCGGGGTCATCGTCCCCACCTATTCCATGATGATGCCTCTTCCTTTGTTTTTTGCTACTCTCACTGCCCAGCCTTCTGTCGTCACCCGATGCATGGGCTTCTGTTACCACATCAACACTCTCACTCTCCATTTCCTCCTTCAACTGATCCTTTTCTCTCTCATGACCTCTTTCTTTCTCCCTTCTGTGCTTCAACTTTCTTCTCTCTCTATCGTCTCTATCCCTTTCCCTTCTTGCCTGCACAAAAATAATACAATTTCAACAATCTAAAGATACATAACTTCTTTACTTGTTTTAATGCATAAGAGGTTTCCCATCTCATCAATCTAAAGAGAGATGACTTATTACTTGTTTTGGTGCATTAGATGTTTCCCAGGATCATAATGTAATTCCCTCCCCACACTCCACGCAACATATCAAGTCTACTAGGTTATGAAGTTATTCGAAACATATAAGCAACACAAGGTAAAATCACAAACAAACTCTAGCATGAAGAAAATTCCTGATCTAATTCAACAGTGATTATAGAGATGCATACCTTATCATCTTTTCTCCTGCGCTCGTTCTCCTTCTCCTGATCTTTTAGTTGATTTATGTATTCCTCAAAAATCTCTCTACAGAAGCTCTCTTCACCAATTGAACTAGAAAGAAAGAAAAAACATTGAGTAAACAGCTGAAATAAAGAAATTTGTATACTCAGGTAATTCTTCGATCTCAAGTTATCTGCTAGCAGAATAAATCAAGGAAAAATAAAAATTAAGATTAACAGAATGGAGTCTTCGGGCTTGTACAATTTTAGATTGTGCGATTGAATGCACCTCAAGTTTTTCTACTACAGAAGAAGAATAGATTGTGCGATATGAACATGAGAGATACTCGCCAGACAACCATTTCCCTCCAAGATGCCCCAGACCATAAAAAAATCAAACCGAGATATCTGAGCTTATTATGGCTGCATTTATCATTAATTTATTACATGGCAATGATTAGGCACAATACCTGAACTCTCTGCTACCATCAACTTGCTCTTTACAACTTTCCCACTTGGAGGATGCAGTGATTTCCTGCAGCAAAAAGTGGCTGATCAATTTAAGCCAGACTTTAGTTGTCCAGTACTAGCTTGGTCAGTTGCGTCAGAAAATCTACCTTGATGGAACGCAACAGATCAAGGAAACCCTCTGCAAGACGCTTGCGCCTTTTGGCCTCTTTGTCCTCCTTTTCTTTGACTCTTTCAAGTAATTCCTCAAATATCATCTGTGAGAAAGTAAAATGTGATGGTATAGTTACAGTGAATGAGTTAAGGAGCTGATGGATCCACCTATTAAGGGATTTGCATGGTGATAAACTGAAAACCAATAAGCAATGCTACTTTCTGGAAGAAATACTAGATTCCTTTGATGGGCACAAAAGTATTATAACAAGCCGTTCAACAAAGAACATAGGAACAAAGAGGTAGAACATCCTAGACAACAAAATTTGTAATGTCTAAAAGTAAGGACAGTGTCACGTTGTATAAAATGCAAACATATTTTTTATTGAAAATATGGCTGACAAAAAAAAAGAAAAGGGAATATTAGCCTTATCAAGCAAATCAAAACCTGTAGATTTGGGTCGGATACAGGGGGGGAGGCAACATCCAGTTCGAAAGCAGCTTTAAAATCTTCCAATGTCCATGCTGAAGCCATAGGAACCTGAGAATGTTCCAGCATAAGAGACTCCTGGGAAAGCACTGAACTTTAACCATGAAATAAGAATAGTTGTGGATTATACCTTTTTCAACTTCACCACCTCTTTTATTCGAGTTTTGTCCACATGATACTGCAAAGATACAAGTTCTTTCAGCGTCAAGTGAGCATGAATAAGTATAATTTAACAAACTGCTGAACCAGAATACCAAAATCTTACAGATCTTTCATTGCATCATTCTAGAGACCAACTTAGTTTGCATTGTTGCATATTAATCTGTGTCAAAACCCTCTAAACAAGAGATATTTTTACAGTATTGATGGAGACAGAAATTCTTATACTTGCAGGAATTGATGCTAAAATTAGATAAAGTAAAAGCAAACAACGCGGATTATCTCACAATATTGCAATATACAATTACACATGACATGTAGACTACATTTTACCCATTATTCATAAAAATAGAAGTTTCTGGGCGATATTGTCACAGATCTTAAACAACTGTTTGATAGAATGAAAGGGGTTAACTCACCTGTTTGTTTAGCTCCTCAGCAACATCATCAAACAAATCTTTAGCAGTTAAGCCAGATGTATTTGATACAACAGCTAAATAAGCAGGTAGATCTTTAACCTAGATTCAAATAAGCAGGATCAAGGTACTTATTAGTAGTGTAAAATAAAGCAATGGTTTTCACCGGTAGAAAGCAGCTATACTGTTACAGAAGAAAAAAAAGTATACAAAAACCAAACCGTTAAGTAATAATCACGCCAATGAGTTTTGGCTGTAAGGGTCCCAGCAGCTACATGTTCTTCCAACAGTTTACGGAATTCATCACGGTTTTTACGCTCTGCCTTTCTCATTTCTTCCTATTTCAGGATGAAAAAAACAGGTAAAATAATATAAAGCAATTAGGAGCATTACTTGATAATTAACGAAGGCAAGAATTCTCGTACCTTCTGTATCTTTCTTTGCTCTTCTTCCTCTTTCTCCAAATCACGTAAGTAGTCCTGAAGCTTTACAGTGAGATCTCTCTCACATACTATCCAAATAGTTAGCTAATAAGGCTGGGGATTTTACCTGAAAGATCTCCAGCCGATCAATCTTTTCCAGTCGTGAGCATCTTTCATCAGCCTCTAACCGTTCTTGAACTTTCCTCCATTGGGTGCTTGCCTGGGCAGTGAGGAGTCAGATGGAAAACTGACAGAGCCATTAAATGGGAATCACAGACTGGATAACAAAGCACGAGTACCTTGATAAAATCACAAGACTGCAAAAACTGTCTGTACTCTATAACATTTCTTTTGCGCTCCTCATGAGCTCTTACTCGTTCCTGGTAGTAAACACCCCCAAGCCAGGAGCGTCAAAAGCATAGATAACTGGAATCCTTAGGATAGAGCTACATAATGCCTTATATCTTTATCGGCTTCGCTTTATGTATGTCAGAGAGTAACCTTGTAAAAAACTGTCATTTTATGCCTCACATTTCGTAGTTCTCAGTTTCGTGCTTTTACTAGAAGCAAAGATTCATAGGAGGGACAGAGAGACTAAATAATGTCAGAAACAAGCCCAAAAGCCAAAAGTAGGTACCATAACTTGCAAAATGTGTACCTTCTCTGCTAGCTCCTCCAAATATGCATCAAACAGATCCTTGCGATCTCTCTCTCTTTCGATCGCTTTGAAACGTTCATCATGTTCAAATAAGGATATCACTTTGCTGAAAAGCACACAAAAAATTAAGAAATGGAGAACTAGCCCAAGGTGAAGGGAACCACAAAATTCGATTGGAAAAAAGCAAGGATGAATCATATGCTACAGACCTCCATCGGGTTGCTGTAGTTATATCACTCGACTCCTGTAAAGCAATTCAAGTTAGGATTAATAGCATAAGAAAAAAATGGCAAATGAAATGAACTAGTAAAGTCAAAGAACCCCTCACTTCTAACATATTCCTGAATTCCTCACGTGCTTTTTTCTGCTTGGTGCGCCTCTCTTCAGCTTCCTGTTTTCTCCTTTCTGCCAAGAACTGAAACATAGTCGTCATGATACTAGTAACGTTATTTGAAATGCATAAAATCATTGGTAAAAAGTCCAAGGAAGTCAAACTGACACTACAGCATGTCAATGCTACCTCGATAGAATATGAACTACAAAAAGGAAGCATTTACCTCAGTAAATGCTTGCTTCCTTTCTCCAAGTGTTTTGAGTGCACCATATCTTTTATCAGTTATTATCACACGCATGGTCTGACAGCCAGACAAGAGAAGCTTTTGTAATTTTAAGAATAACAAAGACCAAGTCTACTGCATACCAACAATATCAACTACCTGCTCCCAGGTCCAGTCTAACCCAACACTGGCAGACTCCAAAAGCAGTTTGAATGCATTTCTTGCTTCCTACAGAAGTAAAGAAGAAAGGACATGAGAAATTTCAGTCCCGACAAGGATCCACATTCCAGGAATCAGCTGATTCTGCACTAAAACCTGTTTATCAATAAAAGATAAGGGCTCCCTTATAGCAGTTTTATCTTCTGCCGTAGCATTGTTCATTTTCTCACTTGTTGATATGTCTTTCCCTGCATCCTGAAAAGGCTATCAAATGTCAGGGATTCCAACCAAATACGTAAGAAATGGTTACCAATAAAAAGATATATGTAACAACAACCTCTTTATCTTGTTTTGCAACCTGTTCTTCTATGTTAGGATATTCAGGTGAACTGTTGCTGGAGTTGATCCTACAACGATAAGCAGATAAAGAAATGACTAAGGTTGTATAGCCACTATCATCCCTTGCGAAGAAAGAAAGATACCTTGTTCCTAGTTTAGGGTCGCCCAAGGTGGCAGGAACCTCAGCAGTTCCTTCATCCAAAGCTGGCTTTTGACAATCTGTATGTGTAGTTAAAGAAGAAGCCACAGCAGCAGCTAATGGAGATGATTCAGAAGTATGAGACTGCCCAACAGCAGCAATGGGTAGAACAGGAACAGGACTAGATGGTGCATCCTGTGCCGTGGAGGATGAAGGATCTGACCCCGATGTCATCTTATCCACATGGGAAACGTCAGAAGCTGGGGCAGGAGAACTTTCAGCTGGTGTCTCCACCGTAGATGTTTCTGCTACTCCTTGGCGGGCCAACTTGAAGAAATAAATACAAAATACATAACAAGAAATCAATGCATGAACATAGAAGAGAAGTATGAAAAGACTTTAGAAAATAGATAGTATATGGAAAATAACCTTCAGTTCCTCGGGGATTTCCCACTTGGACTGCTTGGTAACCTTGTTGTAGAAGTACCTGCAACAGATTCATGAAAAAGAAGCATAGAGAAGCAAATTAGATCTTAAAACATATGTTGCCAAACAAAACAGCACAAACAGTGCCAAGGAATCAGTATCAGATAACACACTTTCTGCCATCAGGACTCATGAATTCCTTCCAGTCAGTTGATGCATCCGCTCTCTGTCATGGCAAAGATAATGAATCAAAACAAACCATCAAATGGGATACAAAGACTTTGCACATGTAAATGAGCCAAAATAGGCTTGAAGATGCTGGTATCTGGCATGGCAAGAAAATTATATGCTATAAACAAGCAAGAATCCTTATCTTTGGCACATAATAAGAGTAAGGGACAAGGGATAATGACACTACGAGCATGAATATGATTATAAACATTAAAATAAATGTCTACATATGGAAAACTGACAAGGATACTAAAAGCTCAAACAAAAGCATGCCTTGAGAAAGATTCTTCCAATAGAATGAAATCAGAGAGCTTAACGTTGAGAGAATTTGAAAGGCAAAAAAAATAGCACAAACAGAAATTACTAACGTTAAAGCTATTAAGTAGGCAGAGAGTGACCAATAGAGACACACGGCATGTCCTAACTCGCAAAAGAGTAGCATGCTAACACAGCATGCACCTGTAACATCTTTAGGATATGGAATCACAAGAGATGTATTGGTACGCATAGAATGGAAAATTTTGAAATTAAATACAACTTATTGCAGGGTAACACAAGTCATTGTTTTACACTACTTCTGGAACACCTACCAAACAGAGATATCAACAGACACATAACCAGACTAAATCATTTCTTAAAAAAGAAAAAAACAGACTAATTACTAAAACATAGACCTTTGAAGAATAGGGGGGGGGGGGGGGGGGGGGGGGGGGGGGGGGGGGGGGGCATGCATGGACAGCTAACTAGTTCTGGAAAAAACATACAATTCAAATGTAGAGCTCAACAGCTGCAGACAGGGTCATAATCTCTTCGCTCAACAAGGTCACACCAGAGGGTAAATGGTGCATACATTTCATCACCAAGTTTCACAGGGGCTGGAACAGTAATGAAGGTGACCTATTAATTACTTTGTTCGAAGGTATATATAACCCTTTAAATAACAATATGACTTTAAAACCCAACAGTGATCGTTGCAAGCATCAGAGTACGACTCGGCCTCTGTACAGTAGAAAGTGTACCAGGTCCTTCTCTAAATCTGAATCATCAGCCCAACAGTTTACCAGAACAGAGACACCAACAAACTCACCTCAACTGGAGTCATCAATTCAAAAGGTTTTTCCCAACTAGATGTTCTCGTCTTCTTGTTGTAATAATATCTGCATACCAGGCAGTAAGGTATTATCCTCCAAAGACAAGTATCCACAATAGGTACATGTTGGAAAAAAAATTGAACTTATCACTGCAAGATAGATCATGACATCAGCCCCATGAAGGAAGATTTCTGATAGATTATAAACTCCAACAATCCAAGCAAGGTTTTCTCAATACCAATAAAGCCACAGAACTAGAGAGTAGGCCAAAAAAGTTTCAGTAGTTGGCCATACATACCTCCTTCCAGTAGCCGTAGATACATGCTCTATCCAATCTGTTGATACTCCTTCAGTGGACTTCCAGTCTATACCCCTTGTCTGACAGATGTATACATCCTCAAATATATAAAATGGATAAACAGTAACTAATTCAATATATGTAAGAAATACTTGAGACGACAGGGAAAAAAGAGATAAAAGTTTCCGAACCAAAACATTTGAATTGGCCACTGAAGGCTGTTCACCATTGTGATGCAGCAAACTAGCAGGAGTACTTGGCTTCGCAGATGATACTCCAGGCTGAGATGGGGCAGGAGCACTAGATGCTTGTACTTGTGCGATAGGCTGATACTGGGTTACAGCATTATAAGTCACTGGTGGCGGAGGGTAAGGAACTGGTGCAAACTACACAACCATTTATCACATAAGATGGTGAATAAAACCGGAAGTTGGAACTATAATATAACAACTGATATCTTACACTATACGGTAATGGGCCACCTAAACTCGGGTTGCAACCAGTAGGATTTTGATTTGGAGGTGGGGGTGGAGGTAGCGATGTTCCGGATACAACATGCCTATTAGGCTGAGCATTAGTCAGTGGAATTGGCTGAGATGGAAGAGGACCATGTGCAGATTGACCAGGCATTACGGGTAAATGCTGGATGGATGGCGGCGGATATTGGACTTGCTGAGGCTGGGAAAACAACCCAGGGTTCATCATATTCACACCATGCCCAACAGGTTGAAAATGTTGAGAAGTCACAGGAAGAAACTGCTGAGACTGTTGTGGCACTGGTGGAGCAACTGACCGGAACTGTAATAACAAAAGGATTTGGAATAAACAAATTTTCGACATCCAACTTCAGTAGTTGAGAGAACATTACACAAAGAATAAGAGAGTAACATTACTTGCATCGGCATGGGTGGACCTGGGGTATAACTTCGAGGAGCATCAGAAGAACCAACCAAAGGAGGTGGAGGAGGAGGCTTTAAATGGCAGCAGATTACATAATTAGTACATAAACCAACATAAGGCTTGGGTTTTGAATCAAAGAGATATATGATTTCTACCAAAAACAATAAAAATAAGTCCGCAGTTCAAGACACTTAGCATTAACGAAAGCCACAGAAGCTACAAACCGACTTAAACCAAATTATAGAATATTGATCGACAGCCTCCATCTTTCTATGCATTTACAAATCCAGATATCACCACCCAACCACTGGTTTCTTTATTTCATATCGGATTATTGAGGTATACCAGGACAGACGTAATTCAGCAGTTTGAACTAAGAAACTAGGTAGACCATAAAGTCACTTAGATAGATACTTCCTCAATCTGACTCCCCTCATTTTCGCCAAAAGAAACATCACTAGTCCTGTTTGCTTCATCCCAAATCCAGATCCAAGTCACTCGGAGACTACGTTTTCCATCCGAGGAAAAGAAAAGGTACCGGAAAATTAAATTGTCGCCTAAATGGCACAAAAATCACTATGCATGACTCATTCGTCAGAGGACTCATCTTTACAAGGGGATTATTGTTTTCATTGGAGATGTAGTGGATTCGTAATGTCAAAAGTTGCTAATGTACATGAAAAGTTTTTTCTATAGAAAAGTAACACATGATTACACTCTTCCAAGACAATACTCTTCTCTTTTTGCTTGAAGAAGACAAGCTGTATCTAGAGTAATCATCGGACATGTGCACAGTATTGTGCGTCTGCGAGAAACTACAAATACATCTTTTACACAAGTATTTGCAGAGTTAATCTTAGTCATTCAATTAATATGAAGGCTCACGATCTGTAGCGCTTCACTGCTTATGTTTGGAAGGAAATCAGAGGGGACGAATCCGTACTTAACATCTCTCTACGGCCTACGCTGACCGCAAACAAAAAACATGGGCGTGTATGTACTGAGATAGAAAATAAAATGCTGATGCCAAATGAGGTTTGAAATATATGGATAAACAACCTCGGCGTCACATTAATGACAAAATGTTGAGAAGTCATGATGTACGAGGAGTACATAATAGTTCTCTAATGAAAATTACCTGTACGCCGGAAAACTGCGGGTTGTTGGCCATTCAGCAATGCTGCTTATCTCGACGAAAAACTAAGAATACAAATAGTACAGTTACCATTAGCGAGTTAAACTGACAACACCCACAAAAGGCAGGTTCTGTTCATCAACTGCGTTCAAAAAGGCAAAGGCAAAAAAATAACAAAGACAGAAAAGAAACTGGGTGAGAATCAATCAGCGTACAGCTAACGGAGACAAAGCAAGTCACTAGTTTAACCATTACATCTGGAAAGGTATTGATTAACAGGAAGAAAATCTCCCTCATGTAGAATACATCAAGACAACATCGCCATTTTCCTTCCGAGGAATATTACCACATGCAAATGTTTTTGGAAATTAATCCTTAAGCTGATTAAAAGAACATTGGGAATAACATTGGGAATAACATGACTTACAAAATTATAAGGACAACCAATGCAGCATATTTAGGTCTTAATTAAGACAACAAAGTAGAATTTGGCTATTTAAGCTCATCATGCTAATGCAAAGCCCGTGCTCCATGAAACTTCAGACACTTACACTATTGTGACATGTTCTATTTTTAAGAGAGAAAATCTTTACTGGCTATACATTCCCAAGAACAAAAAAGCACTTCCTCTGTTTATTCTCTGAAGCCATAGAAAACAATGATATGTGCTACATACAACAAATATTCCATTCACATAGTCACATATTCATCTTAACAAAATAATCGATGCAAAGCTACTCCACTGGAAGAAGACTGCCACAATGAAATGAAACCTTAGATACGGCAACGAAAACAATGGTATGTGCCACATACAACAAATATTCCATTTGCAACATATTCATCTGAACAAAATAATTGACGCAAAGCTACTCCACTGGAGGAAGACAGATGCCATAGTGAAATGAAGCCTAAGATACAGCAACTTCAACTAAGGATTGCCCAACTGCTAGTTCATCGCATCAAATTTGAACAAAATCATCTAAGGAAGTAAAGATTTCAAAGCAACAGTAACATTCGTAAATTTCTCATGAGAAGTCTACAAACATAAATGAAAAAGAAGATGTCTTGTTCAGAGTCCCAGATTGGAAATCCGTGCCTTGCCAGTACTGCTCTCGTCCCCAAAAAGAAAACTCCACCAATGGGAAAACAGTGGCATCCGATTAAAAATAGAAGAAAGATGAGCAGCATTTAGGGCACGAGTAAACTGGAACTGGAATTCTGAACTTAATAAAAGGGGGTCAAGAGAAACAGCGAACTGACTAGGACCCAGACCAGGAAATTGGAAATTTTGAAGTGCAAGAGAAACGAACGAGGTATCCGCAGAGACTCAATCAGAAAGACACTATATTTGCGTGCAATAGAGATGCATAGATAGACAGATAGAAAGGGAGGAACTCACCAGTTATGAACAGAAATTTGGTGAGAAACGCGCGTTTGTTCATTCCCAGCTGGGCATCAAACATAAACCAGAACTCAGCGAGCGGAGGAGGGCGAGCGGCAGGCGGGCGTTAAGTAAAATCGTTTTTCAAGACGCCGGTGTAATAAGGAGCAGTTCCTTAATCACGTGACTAAGTGTAATAGTGTATCAAAATTATCATTTAAGCTCCAATTAATAATAATATAATTTATTAAAGGGTAAAGTGGTAATTGCATTGATTTTTTGTTTTTCAATTATTAAAAAATTCTTTCACTATGTGTATACTGTAACACCTTAAGCAAATCTCACATCAGTTGTCAAAAAAAGAAAAAAAAAATCTCACATAGACAAAACACGGGAGAGATCCATGGTTCATAAATAGAAAATTGACCTTAACTGACAAGACGCGTTTTGGGGTGTAGCGGAGGAGTTCTTGTGAGAACTCCGAAGTTAAACGTGCTCAGTGTGGAGTACAACAAGGATGGATGACCTTATGGGAAGTCACCTTGAATTTCACTCCAAGTCGAAAACCGTGAGGGTCGAGGCCCAAAGCTGACAATATCTTCGTCAGGAAAATGTTTGGGATGTTATAAATTGTATCAGAGCCTCTTCGCGTCCCTCTTGAACGATGGTGGGGCAAACCTCAACGAGGGTGTTGAGTCCCAAGGGGGGTGTATGTAACACCTTAGGGAAATCCCACATCGACAAAGCACGGGATAGATCCATGGTTTATAAGTAGGAAACCGACATTAACTGACAAGAAGCGTTTTGGGGTGAAACGGAGGAGTTCTTGTGAGAACTCCGAAGTTAAACGTGCTCAGTGTGGAGTACAACAATGATGGTTGACCTTTTGGGAAGTCACCTTGAATTTCACTCCAAATCGAAAACCGTGAGGGTCGAGGCCCAAAGTGGACAATATCAATGTCGGGAAAAAGTTCGGGATGTTACAAGAAAATTGAAGTCCGTCAGAAAGCACACATGACCATCTAGGCCACCTCAGCAACCAAGAACGATCCTCTAGAACCTCGATTAGTCCGAAGACAATCTTAGTCGTTAATCACGCTCTGATCATGTGGCTATAGTTCATCCACCAGACTTGGATTCCTGTCTCCTTAGTGCTAAAGGACACAGAGGTACAAGCCTATCACTACAAGGAGTTCTTGTGAGAACCCCGAAGTTAAACGTGCTCAGTGTGGAGTACAACAAGGATGGGTGACCTTATGGGAAGTCACCTTGAATTTCACTCCAAGTCAAAGGTCGAGGCCCAAAGTGGACAATATCTTTGTCGGGAAAAGGTTTGGGATGTTACAAGAAAATTGAAGTCTGTCAGAAAGCACACATGACCATCTAGGCCACCTCAGCCACATGATCAGAGCGTGATTAACGGTTAAGATTGTCTTCGGACTAATCGAGGTTCTAGAGGATCGTTCTTGGTTGCTGAGGTGGCCTAGATGGTCATGTGTGCTTTCTGACAGACTTCAATTTTCTTGTAACATCCCAAACCTTTTCCCGACAAAGATATTGTCCGCTTTGGGCCTCGACCCTCACGGTTTTCGACTTGGAGTGCAATTCAAGGTGACTTCCCATAAGGTCACCCATCCTTGTTGTACTCCACACTGAGCATGTTTAACTTCGGAGTTCTCACAAGAACTCCTCCGTTACACCCTAAAACGCGTCTTGTCAGTTAAGGTCGGTTTCCTACTTATGAACCATGGATCTCTCCCGTGCTTTGTCGATGTGGGATTTTCCTAAGGTGTTACATATACTGCCAGTGGGAAGCGCTACGGTGCTAACAAAAAAATGTTAGCATGCTAACACCCATAACTAGGGCTGTAAGTTTGGTACTGATATTTGGAATATACCGAATACCATATCGAATTTATCACTATTTGATATTATCGAATACCGACTTATTTTTTAGGAAATGGGATTGAGATTCATTTTGGAGTGCTATTCGGTATTCTAGATTAAGGGATTGGGATCGATATATACCGAAATACCGAGAAATACCAAAAATTAAAAATTAGTTAATATCACACACAACCTTTGGTCATTTCTCACTCTTTCACAACTTAGAAGCCCCTATCCAACTCAATTTTGACTTTCCAGTTTAAGCCACTCTCGTCTCTCGCCTAATCTCTTGTTATTTTCATAACACCAAACGGCAAACACTAGTATTAGTCGTCTCCCAACCTCCAATTCGTCTAATTAAAGAATTTGAGATGTCACCTCTCCTCCATTCTCGTTATCCATATCTTAGGTCTAGGCAAACTCAAGACTCTTTGCTTAGTCTATGAGCCCTAAATTAAACAATCAAATCTAATTTATATATTTAATTATTAATTGCCAAGGTAATTAATTTTGTATGTCATAATACCGATTGGGATACCGAAATATTTAGGGATTGAGATTGGGATTAGGATTGATTCTAGGTTGTAATTCGGTATTTGAGATTTCGGTATTTGGTATTGGGATACTGGCACCGTACCGATTTCCACCCCTACCCATAATAGCCAATAGGAAGCTTGGTTTAGGTAGACTTTTTCAATTAACCTAGTTGATCAATTTGTTAAGTAGGATGGACATTTTTGTCGTTAATAATTATTTGTTTTCTCTCTCAACACAAAACCACAGTAGGCGCTTCTCCTTCCTCAGTCGCTGCGCTTCTCCTTCCTTCGTCGCTGGCGTTCATTCTCTCTCATGAGCAAGTCGTGGCAGCACGATTCTGATATTGATGGTGCGTTGCGCCTACTCTCCTTCTCCCCCCCCCCCCTCCCCGCGGCATACGAACGAGCGAAATCGAGACAACTTGTCCTTCTCTTCTACGGCTTTGGTTGCTATTTGTAAGCTTGTACACCACGTTGCACAGTACCTCATCTTCATATTTGCCAATTGCAAACTTCACATAAACCTGTCCAACCATGATGCTTGAAATCTTCTTTCCAGGAAACTATAGAATATATGGATAGATACTCACCACGATCAAGTGTGATTGCTTGATTGATAAGAATCTAGCAAAGCTATTCTGAAATCTTCAACAGAAAAGCTCAAACAAGGATCTTGCACTTGCTATGGAATTTACCAATATCTAAGACAATAAACCATAAGCACGCAAGCTTCATGGGGTAAAACACTTCGGTGTAAAATTCTTATTCAACAAAACATAAGCCTAAATTCGTGTTTACAATCCTTAAAATAACCATAAAAATAAAACTAATGAAAACACCAAAAAGGAAAAAGAATCTTAACACAAAAAGGTAACTAAATTCCCCAGTTTCTCCCTCCTAATCCCGGTCGGGGATTTGGTCCTCTCTTGGCACAGTTTGGAATCACATCACTTAGTCGTTAAACAAGTGAGAATTATGATCCTTCCATAAATACCATACCAGGACGCTCCAGTTCGACTAGCTTGCATCGTCAGTATCCTGCATCGCACTATGAACCCACTCGAGACAGTCTCCTGTTCTACGGTGGCTAACAGGTTAAAACACTTGGCTACCTTCAGTGATCTCCAGATTCTCAAGGCCCATTAACACTCAGTAAAGAAGTGTATTAGCGTTTCTCGTACCCCAGAGAAACAACATTCATAATTCCACAACCTTTTCTCTTCACACTAGCATGGTCTCTTGTTCCTAAAGCATGACGTGCGAAATGCTAAACAAAATGCTTAACTTCGGGAGGACAGGTAAGTACAATATTCTTTTGCAGGTGGCTACTCTCCATGAATCGTAATAATACTTTTAATGTAATGATGGAAAACTTACAAGATTTGATGAGTAGTCAATGTCATTTCACATATGTTAAAATTTAAAATTTGTAATTAAAATAAGTGGCAAGATCCATTCGGCGCACGATCTTCCCTACCAAGCGGCGAACCATTTCCTGTCCCTTCCACCATGTGCGCCGCATTCTTTCCACCTTGGGCGCCCAATGGGGGATTTTGTATTTTTGGGTAGTGGTAGTTTGTACTCTTAGTATTAATTGCGCTAAATTACACATTTGGCCGCTCAAATTATAAATTTTTAATAGGTTTTGTTTGTAAATTTTTTTTCTTACTTGTTAGTTACACTCACTTTAAATTTCGCTTTATCATTGGTCATTAGTCGTATAGTTCTATTAAGTCCATCCTACGTGGCATTCTATACCAGTTTATCGTTCAATTGATGATGTAAATTAAAAAAAATCATTCAAAAATTTTTTCCCTCTAAAGTGGATGAAGCTTTATACCGTAGAGTTCGTTTGACTGTGTCAGAGTAGTATGTCTTCCCGAGTGGATGAATCTTTATACCTCGGTGAGCTCCCAATCATCAGATACATTATCAGTATCAAACACCTGCTCCAACCATTAAATTGTCGATGAATCGAGCCATGATAATCCGACAAAACCCTTGAGCCTTTTCCTATTTTTGGTCGCCAATCTACATCCATTGTAGAAGAAAAAAAAATTTTAAAAAAATGTTTTTTATAAATTTCTTCATCTCCTTATCATCAATCTTACTGTCAATGGGTATAGTTGATTGTCACGCAAGATGCATTTAATAGAATTGGACGACTGGTAAGCAATGGTAAGATGGAGGTTAAAGAGAGTGACTAGCAAGCAATGAAGATTTCCGAAACATGAAAAAAATCTAAATGGTTGAACGTGTAATTTAGCCGTATTTTTTACGTTGATTGTTGACCCCAAGATTCGAACCCAGAGTGTGGTGAGTGTACTCATCCCCACATTACGACTAGGCCAACCCTAAGGGTTAATTTAGCCGTATTATTTGTATATAATATCAGTATGATTTGTAATTATAAGGTTATTGTTTGTATACTTTGTATTTATTGATTTGTCATACAAGTGTTGATTATTTGTAAATACTGGTATGTTGTACTGTTAGCATATTTATTGATTTCTAACACAAATTGGAAATCCCGAATAATAAAAAAATTTATGCAAACTGCAAAAAATATATGAGCCTAAAAAATACTGAATTATCACGATAGCTCGTCTCATAACACAAACTCCATACGCAAATTAAAGGGTTGTGTTGGACCATTGATTTTATCAATACTTAATCAGTATTGTATAGGACTGGGAAATGGTGTGGTTTGGTCTTGACTAGATAATATATTCGGTCTATGGTTCAGACATGAAAGTTGTAGTATAGACTAGGTACTAGATCAAATACTGCACGATCCACACGAAAGTCTAACCAATAATCAAGAAAAAATATGTATTTTCCTTAAAATATAAACTCAAATGAGCATGCATAATTTTGATAACATAAATCCAAGTAAATAACAAAAAGCACAAAGTTAGAGCAATCCAATTTGAATCGTAACATCATAAACATGAGAATTTTATATGGGGACACAATCATCTCTACTCTGTGGCGGAGTGTGGTTTACAAATCAAGGGACGGACGGAATTCACAAAATCAACGTTGAGACTTGGATCTCATTGAAAAGTTGGGAGAGTGCCCGAGTAAGCTGCTGACAAGAATTGGGAAGTGGAATGAATCCACGATTTGATATGGTAAACCGCTGTCTAAACTAGATCAGAACAAAAGATCAATACACCATATAATACATACCATGAATTGCTCAATCAAATATGATCCATAGTTTTTGAAATATCTAACGGTCAACTATAATAGTTGATTGCCACATAAGCAAAAGTTAACGGAGTTAGACGGGGAGTGACCAAACTTGAAACATTTAACTAATTTTAGTGACCGCGAATGAAATTAAATATTTTTAGTGACCAAACATGAACGTTTTTAATAATCTCAGTGACCAACTTTGCAAATAAACCACTCTTACATTGCTCAAATTTTCATGATAGGTCCCGGATGGCAATTAGAATCCGTCCCACTATACCCTATTTATTTTGCTACTCACTTGATATTTATTAAATGAAAGGACGAAGCTCGGTGAAATATTTTCCATTGAAGAAGAAAGTAGAAATGCATGCGTAAGAAAATTCCAAATTTTTGCAACAATGTCTACTGCCTAATACTAGTGTCTCCCAAATGGCCTAACCCAAACTCGTAATTAATAATGCCCCAGTTGATAAAAACAATAAAACCTAACAAAAGCCTCACTCCTATTTGAGCTTCGGCCCCCTACTAATTAATAGTCGTAATCACTATAACAAACTTGTGAGATGTTGGATGTAAGTAGGAGGGTGTTTAGCATAAATTAAAACTTGTTCATTAGCTTGGAATGAACAACCTAATTAAGCACCAACTGATTGCAAAGTTAAGCAGTCCATGAATGTTGAGTGGCCAACCTACACGTACATTTGATGCTATACAAATAACAAAGTTGGGGTGCATTAGAACAGACAACCAAAGGCAAAATAAAAAGAAGTAATAGTAATAGCTAGCTAGCTAGTGTGGAAGAAATGGATGGTGAAAGGAAGGGCAAAGTTTGTGTCACAGGGGCTTCTGGGTTCTTAGCTTCATGGCTCATCAAGCGCCTCCTCTTGGCAGGATACCATGTTGTGGGAACTATTCGAGATCCCGGTTCGCACTATTATTTATTTATTTCTTTTTCTATTTCAATTTTCAACTATACATACACGTAAATTATTTTATATAAATTTCTTTATGAATTAACTATATATAGGAAATAAGAAGAAGACAGAACATCTGTGGAAGCTTGAAGGAGCAAAAGAGAGGCTCCAGTTGATGAAGGGAGACCTGATGGAAGAAGGCAGTTTTGACGAAGCAATCATGGGATGTCATGGTGTCTTCCACACTGCTTCTCCTGTGTTAATGCCTTCACATGATCCCAAGGCATGCTTGCTTCAGAAGTTCTAAAGATTACATATACATATAAATATGATTATCATCATTATTATTATTATTATTCCAATTATCTTGCAACTACTACTACGTTTGTGCGTACAGGTAGAAATATTGGAACCGGCTATCAAAGGTACACTCAACGTGTTACACTCTTGCAAGAAGAACCCATTATTGAGACGCGTGGTTCTAACCTCTTCCTCGTCAACTGTGAGGGTAAGAGAACATTTCAATCCCAATCACTCTATTGACGAGTCATATTGGAGCTCCGAGGAACTGTGTGAAAGATTGCAGGTACGCAATCTTCATACTAGCTAGATATATGCATGCGTGGATATACACCAGTCTTTTTAACTTTTACACGATGGGCATGCAGCTATGGTATTGTCTGTCCAAAGTGTTGGCGGAGAAGACAGCATGGAAGTTCTGCAAAGAGAACGAGATCGATCTGGTCACTGTTCTGCCATCTTTCATCATCGGGGCTAGCTTGCCGCCAGATTTATGTTCTACTGCATCTGATGTCCTTGGCCTCTTCAAAGGTTCATCTACCTTTCTAACTCATCTACGTTTCTCTACTACATGCCTCACTATCTAAATACTATTTGGTTTTGTTTTTGGGGGCGCAGGCGAGGTGGACAAGTTCCAGTGGCATGGAAGGATGGGATACGTTCATATCGACGATGTTGCACTCTGTCACATCCTTGTGTTCGAGACCAAAGCTGCCACGGGGAGATATCTTTGTAGTTCGAGTGTAGTGGACAATAACGAATTGGCATCCATTCTTTCTGCACGCTATCCATCCTTTCACATCCCTAATAGGTTTCTACCAACTCATCTCTAGTTAATTTGTTAGCAAACTCCACACACACAATAAAAAAGGAACAAAACAAAAAAGTTGTTTGCAATGGGGGCATTGTACTGAAAGTAGTGTATGAAATTATTTGTTGATTCAGGTTTGTAGAGCTGGGCAGGCCATACTATGAGCTGGATACCTCCAAGGTGAGAGGATTGGGATTCAACTTCAAGACAATTGAAGAAATGTTTGACGATTGCGTGACATCGCTCGTGGAACAAGGTCATCTCTCCACAAACACCACTGCATGACCGACCGACCGTCCCACCTCCTATTTCCTGCATTTTGGAGATCAATTAATAAATGTACTTCATTAGTTACCACTCTAACGATAGAGATGACGGATTCTACAGTGCCGGGACTGCACCCGTGTCGTCGCCAATTAACCGCCTATTGCCGGGTGTCTTCCCTCTTTACTTTTTTTTGTGGCAATACATTGCCCTACGAAAACTCTAAAAGCAAAAACATGTTCTAGGTTTTCATTTGTGTCAATTATTTTAATTATGGTGCTCCAATAATATTAAGTTTATACAATGATGTTACAGTGCATCGTTATTCAATTAAGAGTATACAATGTATTTTAATCTTAAAGTAACTTAGAGCCGATAATCGCTTTCGGTTAACAGTTTAATTAATTATCGAATATGGTTTGATTGATAGTCGATTATCTAAATGATTCAATTTCCCGTATTAAAAAAATGGTTAACGATTAGGGGTGAATAAACAAAATCGAAAACGGATCCAACTGTCCGACAACCCCAAATCGGCCCACTCAAGATATTTGAAAAAAATTCGATTTTATGGGTGGATGCGGATTTAAAATTTTAAAATCAATAAAATTGTGGTTGGGTGCGATTTTTTATGATTTCAAATCGAGAGCACCCAAATTAACGGTGATACTACATTATACATCAAATTCTTATGTCTTATATATAAAATCCTCTTATAAAAAATCTCTTAGGTTAATTGTTACACATGTCATTTGCCTAGATAGTTTGATAAATTGTAAATTCAATTATTCATTAAATTGTTCACTTCAATGAAATATGATTTGAATTATTGTATTTGTCTAGTAAGAATGCAAATTTTACTTTAATAATTTTTAATTTTTTTCTTTGTTTCATAATGTCATATATGTATTATTCTTTGAATTAAATTATGAAAATTATAAAATTTATTCTCGTATAATGGTTTGGATTTCATCTAACCCCGATCCAAACTGTGACTTAAGAACCCCTGCTGAAGGTGCAAAGTTCATCATTCAGTATGTTGGGGAGATCTGGATAAAGTTTCTTTCAAAGATAGAGGAAAAGTAGGCACACAATGGCTTAGGCAGTTGATCGGATCAGATAGCCTTTTGGGCAAGTAAGTGTATGATTTTGAAATTAATGGTTGGGTTTGGGTTTACCATAATTCAACCCGTGACTCATTGGTTGTGTTGTTATAATAATCGAAACTGACCAACACCCCCATTAAAGAATAATCAATAATCAGCTAATCGATTATGATTATAGTTGAGTTTGAAGAAGTGGAAGAAGAAGAGTCTTCAACCCACAATAGACAAAGGAGGATTATGGCTAATAAACTGTATTTATTCAGAAAAGAAATTAACTCGCTTTTCTGGAATTTGACTTGGCTGCTAATATGGAATGTTGTTAACAGTAACATATGAACAACTCAAATTTGATAAACAGATTGACTAATATATTTTTTATTTTCAAGTGTTTGACGAATAATTAGCTAACGCCACAAAAGTTTTGGCTACCATATTGTATTTACCCTTTTAGTTATAACAATGATTAGCTTTTGTATATAGTAGAATGAGAAACAATTTAAGTTGGGATTAGAAAATTAAGAATTGTTATGTTATATTATCGATACAATTTTAGAATTCCAATCTCTCATTCTACCGAAATTAAATAAAGTATCTATATACAAATAACCATTTTCATTTTTCCAATGCGATCATAAAAAATATTAGCATAATCACACCAAAAAAACAGAAAATATTAGTATAACCATTTTTTTACAAATATTAAACTAAGCCACTTACCTTTATACCAATAACCAATTCCATTTTTCAGTGGCCATAAAGGATTTGTTTTGGATTTGATTTTATCATAGAGCAATATCCATTTTTTCGTCTGTGCCTCATCACAAGGCATTCGATTTCAATTTGTTTCCCAAACTCATTCTTCTGTTTTCTTTCCTTATTTCACTCTTTCTTTTTTGAATATACAAATCCAAACATTCACTTTATATGTTGAGACATGTGGAGTTTATTCATATGTATCTTTTTACAAAATAATGCAGTGACATGTGGGGTTTATTCATATGTAACAAATTGGCAATTAACATACATATGCCTCGTTGGATGATGATTTTGGATAAAGGATTTTGCACAAATCCCTCATTCTCCCGGATTCCGACTCAAATTTGTTTTTCGAAAAGACGAGAATTTTTAAAATTAAGATTGTTGAAGATTCCCAATCGTGGGTTTTTTAAATAGCTGATAGCCATAAGTTATTCACAATTCCTTACTGCCTAGTTTTTTCTTTAGATTCTAAACCTTAATTTTTTGAAAATCCATATTTATCCTCACCCGTCCTTCTTCCTCTTCCACCAACGAAGACCTTCATCTACCTTCCTCCACCACACAAATTACATCTTCATTTTGTCTCATTATATGTTGGTCTCTTCCTCATAGGCAGCCAGCTCCCCATCTCTATCTTGTTACTCTGCACAGGTTGTCCAGGCGCCCAACCATCCCTTCAATCCTCTATTCTAATGGCTCCAATTACCGGAGCACTACTAGAATATTCATCAATGACAATGACGACAACGAATGACCACAACAGTGACAACGATGACCGACGAGGGAGATTGCTCTTCTCTTCTAGCTCCTTCTTCTTCTCCTCTTCTCTTTATTTCAGCTGCTCTCTCTTTTTTTCTCTCTCTAACCAGAAATTCTATCTTAAAATCAGCTCTTTGGAATGAGGGAAGAGGGTGTTCTATTTATAGCCTTCAGAGGATGGAGAAGTTCGCGGCCAGGCAGTGCAAAGATCGCGGTCACGATCTTCTTCCTTGAGGTCGCAAATCGCAGACACCACCGTTTTTGCCTTCATGATACGCCCCTGGGGGGTGTATGTTATCAAAGTCACGCAGCTAACGACTCAATCGAAAGACCGATTGAGCTCGAATCAAGAACGAAGCGTTCTTAATACGAACTTGGATAAAACGGAACCAAAAGGACTATTCCACACCTGGGGAACGCTCGATTGGTATAAATGGTAGATGTCCGACCACGATTGAAGTGACTATTCAATCGATACAAGAGCTCACGAGCTTGGAATCCACCAAACTCAACACAAGTCGCAACTTGCACAAAAACCAAAAGGTTCTCAATTCGATTAATCAAAGTCTGAGTTTTACAACGAAAGTAGAAAGGTATTTAAAGGCAAATAAACCTAATACAAACCTAATAGAAGTAGGAAACAATTAAGGTAAAAATCTACTCTAAAAAGGACTCAAAATTCGGATTTAAACTCTCTTTCTTCAAGTGCAAGTAAGCTGCCAGCAAACAGTCCAAAAGCAGCTTTCGTACTAACTTCGCGCCTTTTGTTCGAGGCCTTCCAGAACTCCGATCTTTCATCCGATTCCTTCCCTTGGTAGATAAACATACCTAGTTTCATTTTGTGGAAGCCCTTTGACTTGATTCCCCTCCATGCTCCTTGAATTGAGCTCCAAAGTAGGCTTCACAAAACAGTTTTCTGCCTTAGCCATTTTCTGGCAGTTTTCCAGTTTTGAAGTAGCAACTTTGAGGCCTTGGAAAACAACCTTAACGACATCATCTGGCTCAAAAAAGTATACCATTGGAAAGATGGAATCTTTATCTGCAATAAAAACCCTTAAAATGGAATTTCCACAAAGCCAATTGAGAGAACCATGCCTCCAAAGTATGTACCTTGAACACGGATTTTGACTTAGCCAAATTCTGCCTTTCTTCTTTCCAACTTCGATAGCTTCTTTGGCAAGTAATTGTGACTCGTAGAAGGGGCCAATTTGGATCATATCACTTCACGCACGAGGAGTTCGCAAGATGACTTCACAGTCGCGATCTGTGAAGCGTGACCTCGAACTTCCTCGTAGTCAGGGGGAACTGTGGGCGTGATCAGACTGGGGAAACTCTCTGTTACTCTCTGCACATGAATTCGCACAAAATAAACCTAAATATGAAGGGTAAATAACACCAATTTATGTGTTATCAAATTACCCCACACTTAGGCGTTTGCTTGTCCCCTAGCAAACCTACTCATACCAATGCCACATAATAAACAAATTAATGTGGGATGCACTCTAGTTCTTCATTTCATAAAGAAAAGTAGTCTGAGACGAGAAAACGTTACTATCATCTTACTGTGCACGCACAAACTCTTGGGTGAGGACCATATTTACTACATTAGGCCGAACATTGAAGGTGTGAACCGGGGGACTTCTCAATCATCAATTAAGCACAAGAACTCTTGAGGGTGCTCTTTATTCTTTCTTTCAATTTAGGAGTTGTCGTTTATTGGCTCCTTTTTCTACGTTGATGCACATTGCACCAATCTTTTGCAAGTTTTCATTTAGGCAAGCATCTCTCCCTCACATCCAAGAGCGGATGGATCAGTGCCTTCCCTTTCAAGGTCACAAGTGGGGATGTTGATGGGCGGATTCGTGTTAGCCCGAGCTCCACTTTCCACCCTACACTCCACATTGGGTTGGCACACATGTTGGGTACAAACGAGAGCTTTGAGGTCTCATGAATTGCTAAAGGTAGTTTGTACCTTGGCATACGATTCCGGGAGGAGGAAAGATGTTTGGGGGATGGTAAGTAGTGAAAGATGGTGGGGATGCGGTAAAGCTATCTGATTCCCAAACATATCCTCAAAGGGCACTCCAAAAATTGAGGTTCAGTTGCCCTCACATGAGAACCTCTTTTAAAAAAAATTGAGTTAAAAATTGATAAAGAATGCCGCACACATGTTCTTCCTAAAACAGCAGACATAATCGACTCACCAAAGAGGAAGAAAAGAGTAAAATCCCTCATTTACCAGTACTTTAATCATGCAACTTGATAAGCCGTTAATTGCACATGTTTTTACCCCTATTCTGGAGCCGTTTGAGGTGTTGATTCTCGTGTTTTAAGTCGATTTCACGCTAGGTTGTGTTTGTTTGTGATATTTCAGGTCCTAGCAAGTGAATGAAGGTTTAGGAGCGAGTTCGGAGTCAATTGGATGAAGATCGGGCGTGAGGCAAGTCAAAAAGGAAGCCACACGGGCACACCCGCAACTCACCCGGCCGTGCAAGTGACCTATTTGGCCGTGTGGGATTGTGCGAGCCTTCACACAGCCAGCCCTGAATTCCACACGGCCGTGCGAAGTTGCTGTTTGGCCGTGTGGAATTCTGCGAGGCTTCACACGGCCAGGTTGGGTGAGCTACACGGCCGTGTGACCCTGGCCGTGTAGGAAGCCTGAAGTGCAATTAATCAGAACGCGGCGTTTTGACCTCACACGGGCAACTGGTATGTCACACGGCC